GGAAGCTTTTCTTTTTCTTGCTCATTTATCGTGCATAAATGTTGTTCTGTAAGTTCAGCGCTAAAATTCAGTTGGTGGTCTTTAAAGGTCAAAAAATACTGTTCCCATTGTCATTCTTATGCTAAAAAGTGTATTACAAAGCAGCAAAACTAATTTTTGTTGTAAATCTTTTGAGGCTTAAAAATTTTAAAAATTCTGCTAGTGTTATTTTTTGTTTGTTAAGACTTGTCTGGGATATGAAATAATTGTTTTTATTTCTTTCTATGCCGCTTTAGCTTTAAAACGAACAGTCTGTGTCAATGTTGAGCATTGGTTTCCGATGGAATGACGCATTTGGTTTTACGATAATTTAGGCAAAGAGGATCTGTATTTGTTTTCCAGTGTTCAGACAGTTATAATTTAGTTAAAGAAGTCAACAAGTAAACTGAATTGGTTTAAAAAAATAAAATAAAAAAGTTAATTGAAAAGCAATACTTTCAAATTTTTGGTTAATATGAGAGGCAGTAATCGCAATACGCTTTTCATTTCAGCCAATAAATTCTTACTGATTTACTGACAGGATTTTATCATATCACTCGGAAATATTTCAAAGGAACACTGCGAATTTGAAGTTGTAAGTGCTCTGTAAGAGATTAACTGTGCTTTTATTATTATCTTGCTTATCCTAAACCTGTGGGAAAGCGAAAAGTAGGAAAAACAAAAACAAACAGACATAAGACAGTGGTGATTTGGACAAAAGGTCACTCTCCTTAAATGGGTGAAAAGCGTTGTTTTTTGCTCTTGTTTTTTCTTTTCTTTCTTCTTTTTTTAAAAACATAAACCAGGAAACCATACATACAACAGTTTGGCCAAATGTTTGGCAATCCAAGTCGACTGTTTAATCGGCATTCTTCAATCGACACTCCGCGGAGATTTTTCTCTTAGTTTGTCATACTCGGTTTTTTTTTTTGCTTTGCTAAGCTACAGCGTCAACTTCGTTGACGAAGAATTAGTCAGCACTTTCGCCTGACATTTTGTATCATCAAACTACTGCCTTATTGCTAACTTTAGGTTTTGCTTTTAGCTAGTTTTTCCTAGAAAGATTTAGAAAAAAAGAAACAAGAACTTTTTTTTTCTTGTATTAGAGCTTGTCTTGCTGTTTTATTGGTTCTCACCACCTGACGTTGAATTATGTTATCTGAAATAGACGACTTCCGAGTAAGCAAGAATAAAGAACTTTCCTTCAAAAATTTGCTACGGAAATGGCAGGTTTGAGGGTTTTTTGGCATAGTGATATTTTAGCTTCACTTGAAATTTAAACGTTTAATAAAATATGGTAAATTGTCTCTAGGTTTCATGAAATTGTTATCTTGTCTGACTTTTTTTAAAGTTTAAATTCTGAGAAGGACATCTTGTAGATTTGTGACAGAAGCATATTCTTTTGGCTTTATTAACGGTTGCTTTCTGGTTTTCATGCTGCCGTCATAATTTAATACAGTCAACTTATGATTTAAATTAATAAGGCTGCATACTTCTGCGTCAGTTGAAGAACAGCTGTCCGAGTTGGAGACAAATACTTGTTTTGAAATTCATTGTAGGAGTTGAAATAGGGCTTCACAATATACCTTCATTTACACTTGCGAACAAAGTGACCTGTCATATTACAGTGTAATTAGTTTTAACCTTTGAAAAGTTTCGGCCCATTGCGATTCGGAATAATCTGCTAATATATTTTTACCTATTGTGCACCACTATATAGGTAATTTTATGCATTTTTAAAACAGTGGCAAGGTTCAGTCGGTTTTTTCATGTATTCAAGTGAAAAATGGATGCGCAAAACTCTTAATTCATTGTGTTACATTGTGTTAGAATCTGATGGTTCACGATAATGACGACAAAAAATTAAAGACGTCGGTTATCAAGCCAGTGAACAGCGGTGATTCGGTTCAAAAAGTTTGCTGCTAGCGGCTTGATCTAAGTAACAACGCAGACAGACGTCGTATGCTGTCAACAAATAGCAACGAACTTGAAACTTTCTAAGATCTGTTGAAAGGACTAGCGCTGGTGCAGAGGAGTGACATCAAGATTCTCAATTTGCAATTACCTTACGGTACCCAATGGTGTGAAAAAAAGTGGAAAAAGTTGCAAATTTGCTCTTGAAATTTGATGATGCTGTAGTGGCGTTAAGCTCTTACCTAAATTGCGATGGTATAGCGTTATTGCCATGCGCTGGTGGTGATTCATATAAAATCGGAGAAAATTTGGTAGAATATATTAGTTTTAAATGAGAGACCGCATAATCCAAAAACCATTGCCAAAAATTAACGCAGCTGGATATGTTTTGTTGAATAGCTCCTACTGACCCTACATTTTTCACTATAATTACCATTCGTCTCGTAATCCTAATTCTTTTAAAAATTTATTCAAGTTTCAGCAGCGAATTTCCAGCATGCCTGATTGGGTTTAGTCGTTTCAATTTTCACTCAGAGAAGTTTGTAAATTGTTTTTTGAGGAAGAGTGTGTAAATTTATTTGAAATTTCCTTCAAACACAAAATGTGAGGTTTTACACAAAACTAAAATTTGAAACTAAAACCGTTTTCTTTCAGTAAAATTAATGAAAAGTCACAGTCTTCACTGTTTATTCAACCACTGATTTATTAGCATTCGTTCCCACCAGCCATTTAACAGGCGATAAAGTCACTCAGACAGTACAGCATTAAATGGATATGCTGATGCAAAGTGCCACGGCAAAATTGAGCTGTGATTATTAAAAAAAAAGTATAGTTGAGACAGCAAAAGCACTAATATTACATGGAATACATTTTGATATTAAAACGATTTT